GAGAAATGTACTTTAAGAAAACAGTTTTGGAAGTATGTTGTAAGGAGGGCAGACAGACCTAATAGTTGAGTCTGAGAGGTTAACATAAACTCACAGACGCATTACTCCGGAAGGTTAGCATAAACTTTCGGCATAAATTAATTCTGCGAGGCTAACATAAGCTCGTGGACAAAAAAAAATATTTTCTGAAAGGTTAGTATAAACTTTCAGCATACATAGATTCTGCGAGGCTAACATAAGCTCGTGGACACAAACATTTTCTCTGGAAGGTTAGTATAAACTTTCAGAACATAGCTGTCTGCTCAGGTAAAATACATACGATCTGGTTGACTGTTGTTAAATGGAAGGTGAATTTGATGAAGAAGAGGAGGACGGCGGCTGGGAGTCAGCATTAGATCATAAATATTTAGACACAAATAGACACACTAATATTTCGATGTACACATAGATCATTCATATTTCGATGTACACATAGACACACTACCTGTAAGAGGCGATTTATGATGTATGGCAGCATCTGATTGATGGGCGGGTCAGCCTATATAGGGTAGGAACCTTTGGGGGCTCGGCAGGTGTTTCCAGCCGGTAAAAGAAAAACAGTTTTGACTTTGAATGTAGAGGCTAAGCCAACGCTTTAAGCCACTGAGGCATTTTGTCCGGAAACCCTCGTTGACGCGCCGCTGTTGTCCCATGGCGGATGAATGAGAGTCTTGTAGTCTTTGTGTTGTTGTAAACAAGTCCACTTATTTGCCAATTTTACTCCTGTCACACGTTTACCATACATCATGGGTACATGGGAGTGTGGCAGGAGGGAGAGAGAGGAGTGATTGAATAGATGAATGAAAAGTGTTGAGAAATGTACTTTAAGAAAACAGCTTTGGAAGTATGTTGTAAGGAGGGCAGACAGACCTAATAGTTGAGTCTGAGAGGTTAACATAAACTCACAGACGCATTAACTCCGGAAGGTTAGCATAAACTTTCGGCATAAATTAATTCTGCGAGGCTAACATAAGCTCGTGAACAAAAAAAAAATAATTTCTGAAAGGTTAGTATAAACTTTCGGCATAAATTAATTCTGCGAGGCTAACATAAGCTCGTGGACAAAAAAAAAAAAAATTCTGAAAGGTTAGTATAAACTTTCAGCATACATAGATTCTGCGAGGCTAACATAAGCTCGTGGACACAAACATTTTCTCTGGAAGGTTAGTATAAACTTTCAGAACATAGCTGTCTGCTCAGGTAAAATACATACGATCTGGTTGACTGTTGTTAAATGGAAGGTGAATTTGATGAAGAAGAGGAGGACGGCGGCTGGGAGTCAGCCTTAGATCATAAATATTTAGACACACATAGACACATTCATATTTCGATGTACACATAGACACACTAATATTTCGATGTACACATAGACACACTACCTGTAAGAGGCGATTTATGATGTATGGCAGCATCTGATTGATGGGCTGGTCAGCCTATATAGGGTAGGAACCTTTGGGGGCTCGGCAGGTGTTTCCAGCCGGAATAAGAAAAATAGTTTTGACTTTGAATGTAGAGGCTAAGCCAACGCTTTAAGCCACTGAGGCATTTTGTCCGGATAGATGAATGAAATGTGTTGAGAAATGTACTTTAAGAAAACAGTTTTGGAAGTATGTTGTAAGGAGGGCAGACAGACCTAATAGTTGAGTCTGAGAGGTTAACATAAACTCACAGACGCATTAACTCCGGAAGGTTAGTATAAACTTTCAGCATACATAGATTCTGCGAGGCTAACATAAGCTCGTGGACGCAAACATTTTCTCTGGAAGGTTAGTATAAACTTTCAGAACATAGCTGTCTGCTCAGGTAAAATACATACGATCTGGTTGACTGTTGTTAAATGGAAGGTGAATTTGATGAAGAAGAGGAGGACGGCGGCTGGGAGTCAGCCTTAGATCATAAATATTTAGACACACATAGACACATCGATATTTAGATGTACACATAGATCATTAATATTTCGATGTACACATACAGTAGATCATTAATATTTAGATGTACACACTAACATTTTGTTCTACACAAAAACACACTAACATATATAATTACACAAATACACACTAACACGTTGTTCTACACGCAGACACACTAACAACATTAACATGTCATTAACTTTTCTTCTTTTCTTTCTTCTCAGGAACTGCTTCAGATTTTCGCCCAATCATTGTGTTGTTATTATTGTAATTGTTTGTATGTGTGTTATTGTATCATGTAAGTAATGTCATGTGATTATTATCTAAACAATAATAAATACATTTTGATAAAAAATAAATCAAATGAATCCGTTTTCTTTTCTTCTGACCAAAGAGAATTTCATGTTCTTCATTATTTGTTGACTTCAATGAATTTAAACAACAATGATGTTGAGTTATTGAGCGTTAGTATATTTACTTAATAAAACTTAGGGAAGTTTTTGCACTTAGAAAGTGAAGTAAATTCTACAAGGACGATCATCAAGTAAACCTTACTTGCAGGATGTAAGTTACTTTTACTAGCAAACCTCAAGTAATTGACTGATTATTATTAATATGGACATTGAATTTTACTCTGACCTTCTTTGTAAGTTTTACTCAAGACTCTAAATGCTTCAAACTAAAAATCTCACCTAAAAATCAATGGCTTTTCAAGGTTATTTTAAATACTAAAATAACTTTTATTTATAGACTATATGTAAGTAACATTTACACAACATTTTACATAATTTTCTGCAGTTTAGATTGCCTAAATGTGTTCTCAATGTTTTTGTGTATTGAAACAATTACACATGACACAAAAAATAGGCAATTGTTTAATTCAACACTTTTATTTAAAAAATATATATTTTTCAATAAAATATTTTCCAAAGGTTTGCAAACATCAAGACAGCACTCACATCTGTGACCCTTAGACAATGGCCCCACAACCCACCAGTTGAGAACCTCTTTCCTTCCTTGACCCGGAGACAGCACGCATTAATACAGTGCAACAATATAAATTACAATTAAAACCAGAACATAGACAACTGGCCACATAAAGAAATGTGCTGTTTTTTTTTCTTTTAGTTCCCCCCTTTGAAAAAACAACTCTTGGGTCAAACATGTGCACTCAAGCTATAAGTTTGTTTCGCAGGGACAGGATCTTCCTCATCGGCCATCAAGCTCTAGAAGAACACTTCAAAAGTGTACTTCATTTTTGGAGGGTAACTCAAGTTCATGGCATAAATGATGCCCATCAGCAGGAGACAGGCCTTTGCACAGTTGTTGAATACCTCAGTCCCTTCAACAACAATCGACACATCAGCATTGAATGCACCTTCATCTTTACTTGTGTGGTAGACACAGATCCTCAGGACTTGCTCAGCCTGGTCTTCTTGAGCTGCCTCTACATGCTGTAGATTCCTATTCCTAAATTTGCAATAGGCAGCGCACTGTGATAACAAAGTAGCTCTCATTCATTTTATGAATGCATTTGAAACCTAAATATTACTCTGGCTTAGTGCTCTCCATTTCTTTTTGACCCGCAGGTAAGATGAGAGAGACTATGCAGCCGTGTGACAAAACAGACCTACTAATTGTTAGGGATTTAAGCAAGAAGATTTAAGCAAGAAGAGCACCCCAAGTGGTGGAAATTATAATACGTGTAATAATGTTTAGTGTTAGAATTGTAGTTTGTGTGTTATTAGATATTAATTATTACATTAGCATGTTAGCATGTAAGTGAATGCAATTTGAATCAAACACAATGTAGAGTAATGCAAAATGTCATATAAACACTGTACACATTAACATTCTGTCACAATGTGATGTTAAAACCTGGGGACGGATGCTAGTTGCCGTCCTTTATGGATTTCTCCCAATTTTATCCCCAAAGAGTGTTTTTTGGGAGTTTTTTCTCCTGTCAGGTAGTAGATGAACAACTGAATGCAATACAGCCGATTGAGGCAAATGTCTTGGACCACATGAACTGTATTAGACCTTATCGTGTAGTGTGATGAACAGTGATCATTAATGATGTGTTGTAATTAAGGTGTACTAGTTAGAAGATGAAGACTTAAACTATAAACACTTTGTTGTATTCACTCATTGAGGCATAAAGCCAACTGTATCTACATTGAATGCATTGGAATGTGAGGGACACACCTCAAGAGTTTTCAAAGGACCAAAGCGGGGAAAGGACTGTTAGAATTTTCCTGCAGCCGCTTAGATAAGTCACCTTAGACTTGCTCAGAGAATTCATTATTTGGCGAAATATTGGACAGTTCGTTTTGTATTTCACTTTGTAATTGCATTCCTTATAACGATGTTTAGTTATTAAATACTTTTTAGATTTTTGGAGCAAGTTGACTCTTTTGCTTCTTCGTTTCCGGCCGGGACGAGAACAAAGGAGTGAGGCCTCCCTGGAGAGCTTTCCGAACCCTTACCACGTGTAGCTTGTTTGACCCACTTTTATCAACAGATGTGACCCAGTTTAAAATCGGTGTTAACTTTGGCCAACCGAGCAGCGGTGAGTGGATGACATTTGTGAAGTAAACATTACCGAATAAGCACATTAATAATAAACACACGTTTTGAGTACCACACAGAGAAAAATACAAAATGTTGTTTCAGTGCATTTTATTCTTAGTTGGGTGTGAAAAGTAAAATCAACAAAAAACACTAAACACTTGTGGTGAGTAGAACTCAAATAATCCAAAATGTTTTACTGTAAATTTACTTTTAATTACTTTTAAATTAATTAGTTGAATGCAAACTGTGAGTCATTTGATACAGATTATTTATATATGACACATTGACTTATTATTTTGTGGTCATTTTCTTAGCTGTTAACAGTATCAGCAATTTACTTGTCATGTTTCCCAGCGGGAGGATGATGTAGAATGCGTGCCACAAACTATTGTTTGAAAACGTATACTATAAAATTTAAACGATTACAGTCAGCATTAAAAACTGAAACGCAAGTTCATAAAAAATATCACTGTACAGAGATTCCGAATTACAAAATGTTTATTAATACAGGAAAAAAGTCTTAAGAGTAACTCTCCACATCAGGTCTGGAGGATTTGTTCAGGATGGGAAGGTCTTCTGCAAGAAATAAACACACAAACAAACGAGAGTTGGGCAAACTTCTATAATTAGCGTAGAGCTGTGAGAGTCAAATATTACAAGAGTGTAAAATTTCCACAGTAGCAGCAACAGGCATTTGAGCTGCTTACGTTGATGAGAACTGAGGAGTACTAAAAACTTTATAGTAAAAAGCGTTTGTAAAAAAGTTTACCATGACTAAATGTTACATTTACCTTTCTGTATTCCCAATGCAATCAGTTGATGTAACTTTTTTAAATGGCACACTCCTTTCTCACCTTCTCCTTTGGGTTCTGGGCCGGCCGGTAGAGTTTGAACTCAGCCGGGAGCTCGTCGTCGGAGTACATTCTGTCCGAGAAGTACACTCTCCTTATTCGACAGTTAGCGTGTATCTGGAAGGAAAGCACATTAGATTCATTGGCATCAGACAAGAGGATCCGCAATCACACAAGTTCATCTGTAAAGCGAGCCGGCTCCTTGTCGCTCTCCGTGCACTAACCTGCATGCGCAGCGTCTGGATGTAATTGGTGCCGTAGGCCCTCCTAGTGAAGTCTTGCAGGTTGAACTGAATCTGGTTCCAGCCATCATCCAGCCTCATAGGCATGGTGCAGAAAAACGTCTTTACTCGTGTCGTGCTTTGATAGGTGCTCGCCCGAAACCGCCGGCGATTGTTTTTATCGTCTAACACCTGTGCGTTTTTTTTTTCAACAATGGGGGGGGAAAGCATGAATCTGGTGACTGCAGGGGAATGCACATTTGTTTGTTTTCCGACACATGAGCCAAAGCTGTCTGTGTCTGCAGGAATGCCGACCATACCTGGACTTCAAAGGTGAAATACTTCTTCAGATTTTTGACAATCATCACTAGAACAGGAAGTTTGATGCCCAATGTCATCTTGGGGCCTGCAGGACATGTTATATACGTGGTACTGCAGGGAGCAGAGGAAACACAAAGACGAGTGACACGGATGAGGGCGGCAAGTGCTTGAACTGGTTGACCTGAGCCGAAGAATCAGTATAACATAAACTCACCTGACATTCGCCCCCTCAACCTCCAACGCCAACGAGTGGATGTCGTCGTCCATAATTCGCTTGATGTGACCATTCCTCACCTTCGAAGACACAGAAATATCATGTTTAGAAATGATCTCAACGGCAATGCGGATCCAACAAAAAACAAATCCTCCTCTATCACTAGTGTCACCTGTTGCTTGGTAATCTCCTTTTCGGCCCACCTTGTGTATTGCTAACGCTAACATTGAACCTTAACTAAGTACAACTTCCTGAATAAGAAGGTGACTAATGATATCAGCCCCGTCAATTACGTAAAATCCCCCCCCCCCCCCCACCCAATCAATAACATTGCTTAGAATTATAATGCAACCTCTGTTTGGTTTCAAAATGACAGCGCTATTGAGACCAGTAATAACTGACATGAACACGTAGTTATACTTTTTAGTGAAGCCGATTAACCGCACTTATCAAATAGTCGATGGAAGTTTGTGCGACACATTAACATTTGAGCAATGCCTCCAAAACACACGACAGCAGAGAAGGAAGTTTTCGTCTTGCCAAGAGATAACTTCGCTGGCCTAATTTAGCTAGACTAATCCCAAAGCATGTCCCGTGGGTCAGCTTTAGCGCGGCTAGCTAACACGGCTAAACTCGGTTGGTAGTATTCTGCATTCTCACCTTTTTATCCCAGATCTGGAGCGGTTTGCTCCCGACGCTGTATAAAATGGAGAGGAATCCACTTTGAAATGTATTATTAAACATGTTGTCGCTGCTTAGTTCACTGCTGTTATGTTATACCGCATTAGTACTACAACTGTTACAAGAAAGCGGTGCGTTTGTTTAGATTTGGTTTGCGTTCGAATCGTTACCACTCAAAAGAAAAACAAGTTCAGTTGCTGTGGCAACAAAAGATTATTCTGTATGTATATTTATATTTATTTCATATATCAGGCTACAATGTTAAGTTGGTATTTGTTTTTATATATATATATATATATATATATATATATATATATATATATATATATATATATATATATATATATTGTTAATATGGTCATAATTCTGGCCTGCACCCCTTCTTTGGGTCTTTTGAGAACAAAACATTGAAATATTGAAATAAATATTCAGATGTTACATCTCCAGTTTAGATACTGTACTATGCATAATGCAGTTTTATAGCTTCTGATCAGCAAGGATTTCAAAAACTATTTGTTACACAGGCTTTCTCTCAAAAAATCATCAAGTAATGTTACTTCACTCAACACAGCCGATTGAGGACAATGTCTTGGACCACATGAACTGTATTAGATCTTATGATGAGGTTTGATGAACTGTGATCATTAATTAATGATGTGTTGTAATTAAGGTGTATTAGTTATAAGATGAAGACTTAAACTATGCATGCTTTGTTATATTCACTCATTGAGGCATACAGCCATATGTATCTACATTGAATGTGAGGGACAGATAGGACAGATTCAGAGGATTCAGGTTACAGCTGCAGCTTCACACCTCGACGTGAGGGGGACAATCCAGGAGGAGACACGTTTAAAGGAGAAGCCAATGACATTCAAACGCACCCAAGAAGACACACCTCAGGAGTTTTCAAATGACCAAAGCGGGGAAAGGACTGTTCCTGCAGCCGCTTTGATAAGTCACCTAAAGCCTAGTTTATGCTTCTGCGTTTTCAGTTAAACTGATTTAATTAATTCAATTATTAAAACGAAGAATGTTTACGATGTTTATGTTGTCGGAAGAAATGCGTAAATATGACCGCTTATACAAGCCGTCATTGGCGGGTTGTAGAAGCGGGTTGGATTCATGGAGGGAGAAATACTTTTTTGATTTTTAAATTGGAGCAAGTTGACTCTTTTGATTCTTCGTTTCCATCCGGGACGAGAACAAAGGAGTGAGGCCTCCCTGGAGGGCTTTCCGAACCCTTAACATTATACAGAGCATCAAGTGCTCCACATCTGTCATTCGGTTCGCCTCGGTGTTACCCGGAGCGTCATGATTGTGACGCCCAGATTAAAGTCAGGGTCAGACGTGACTTGTAAGAGCATTTGTACCTGATGTATGCGGCACAGATTTACTATTTCAAAATTGGCCTTTGTGAGGGAAAGAAGAGCTCTTTACTACCACTGAAAGGAGAAAACCTCAATCTGTAATTTGAGGATTTTAATCTCCTTCTCAAGATTAAAGAGGATGCAGCCAGTGTGTAGCCATTAAGTCAGATGAGCTAACAGCCAGTAATGGATGAAATAAAGCAAAATAAATATCAGGTCAGGTTCAGGTCTACGAGTTCAAGTTCAATCCAAGCGTGTGCAGAAAACAGATTTCTGTTCCTGTATTCGCCTCACGGGTCCATTTGGCCGCCTCTGTTGTCACAGTGTTTTCAGTCGATGTGTTGCCTTCTCAATGAGCTTTAGTTGAATCACTGACCTTGTGGAATATGCTCACATCCTCACCGTGCAGGTGCAAGGTTACGGAAAAACTATTTGATGCCAATGCAAACATAATTTTGACAAAAAAAAATCACCTGGAATGAAAATATAAGTGAACATAGTCACACAACCATGAGACTATCCTGTACACCATTTTCAGTCTTTACTTTTAAACTTAAAGCTGCTTTTTTATCGACATTTTGCACCCAATAACAGAGGAGAAACAGAATCTGCATGGCAGTAAGTCTCTTTGGCCTTTCTACACTAATAACAGTGTTTGTGCACTATTGAGCAATCAGTGTGACACAATCAGAGGGAAAGTCAAGTGTATTTAAGTTGACGTCTCGACCTAAAACTCAAACATCCAGAGAATCTGTTTGTGAAGATCAGTGTCATCTTTCCCCAGGTAGCTCATCATGACGCCTCTTTGTGGGGTGAATATAATAAAGAATTCCCACACGGGTTGATATTCAAACCTCGCAATTGGGGGCAACGCATGACAGGACGTCAGGGCTCTCGTTTCGAGTGCTATCACAGTATCTTCTGTCCTCGATTGACGAGAGTTGATGCCGGCGTTGTAAATGTTTGTGATAAACCGCATCATCGATCCACATTTACGACACACCGTGTGGCTCGCAGCTTCGGCTTTTCATTACGAGACAAAGCGATACATTTAGTAGAAATCCAAACAGTTTCATGAATAATTCATAGCATTCATATCGAAAAAGATAATCAAAAGTCTAATTTAGAGCTGAATAATTTAGAACGGGGCCTCCCAGCGCTGGCTTTATACCGCGAACTAAGGTAGCGATGATTATGAGTCCATGAAAATCCTCCTTCCTGAATCAAGTCAAACATTTAAATCTAACGTTAATACAACAGCTGGGGTATTTCAATATCAGAATCTGAATGTGCTTTTCTTATCCTACAATGTTAATTCACTTAGGGTTAGGGTACACTGTTTTACAGCACATGAAGTTAAACTTTTAATTAGATGGAAACACAAAGACACTCACAACATGCGGTGACGGACCCACAGACAGAGCATGTTTGTTGACATGTGCACGCATCCTCCTTTACTAAATTCCCATTTCAAAAGGAGCAAACTGGACACAGTGAGAAGTTGCAGTGATGGAGCTTATGTTAATGCTATCTAATTAGCTAGCTCGCTGCGTCTGATGAAATCTCTTAGCAGTCTGCGTCTGTTCTCGGACTTTGCCCACCGTGTTGAACCGCCCATGTGTGCCTGCAAAGGAGGAATCAAGTGGCACGGAATCAGAAAGCTAATCTGGGAATGGGACAACAGGACAAAGGCGTTTTATATCTGCTAAGCCCGGCTACCTTCCGAGAAAAGGCTCTTGTGACACATTTTCAGCCGTGTCTGACAAGTAGCAGTCGGTGAGTGCAATTCAGCTGCAGCTGAAAAAAGTCTGACACCAAAGGTTGTCATTTTAAGTCGTCAAAATCAATATTTGCTGGGTAGGAATTAAAATTCTGCCTTCCGGCTTACTAAGAATTCTGAGATGCAAATCAGCAAATTCCCGTTTGTGTGTTGGGCCAGAGCAGGAAGCTCTGTGTAGCAGCTCCAACTGGCTTTTGGATTCACCTCTCTCGTTTTTTTTCCTGAAGTCACTGAATGTAATTTTCTAGTCTGCGTCCATTATTCGCGATACTACAATGTATTAAAACATTGCGCAGTGGGGGCAAACTAAAGCTGCTTTGAAAGGTCACTGATCTAAAGAGCCTCCATGATAAACACGCCGGGGCTTATTTCCTGGTTTCATCTATCTTTCGGTCACACATGTCTTACTCTTGGATTCTGTGCATTCTTTTAGTCGACTAACCAAATACCAATTTGTCTCCTTGATGTTTTGAATTTGACGTGTAGAGACTCGCTCTTCCACATGATGATCCGTCTCCACTGAAACCAACAATGACGTTTGAGCAAGTCTCCTTTTCATACATATTAAAAGCTCCCAGTCAACTCCAAACGCTGACTTGAACAGCCGTCGTGTTCACCCCCCAAAAAAGGGGTTACACGCACACGACAAAAGATGAGGCGCTGATGAGGTCTGTTATTTTACTTACTTTAAAAAACGTGGAGCTGGTGTGCCTGCGGGACATGATCAAAGCCGAAGCCCATCACAGGCCAATCAAAGCGTCCGGCGCAAACACTGAGCAGAGATCAAAGACGGGACCGCATTACATGGAGGCGCTGGAATAAAAAATTAACCGCATCCCATTACGAGTGCGAGCACATCCCCTAATGGGGCTTTGCATAGAGCAACCCATTATTATTGCAAGGACGGCGCTGGCTTCTGTTGAGGTGTCACGACCAATCTGGGAGCAGCGAGGCAGGTAGCAGGATTTCGCTTTCCTGACAATACGTTTCAACTTTAGAACAACACTATTTTCAATATAACCGGGGGGCTTTGATCGCACACTGCATTAAAAGTCGCAGCACCGCAGAAAAGCGTTACCACCCGCTCAATCTAATCCAGACACAGTATTTGACGGATGAAGCAAATTTTGTAAAATTTCTGCAATATTGTGCCCAATGTGATGCAAGGCCCCAGAGAGCTAAATACACGCGGGAGTGGTTTAGACTCTGTAATATGCCCCTAGTCCACCAATGTCAGTCTGATGCCACAAAGTCGTCCTCAGCGGTAAATGTGCAGGTGAGATTTTAGCAAATTGGTTCAGCAAAACAACTTCATGGCATTATAATAATGCAATTTTTCAAACAGTGTGGCGTGTCAAATCAGGGCACAAAGCGCCTTTTTTCTCACGTGATTTCTTCAAGTAATGACAGATTTCATGTCCGGTTTGGCAGACGACCTGCAGAAAAGCCTGAATCCGTCATATTTCCATTCTCCACAGAACCATTTTGGTCACAGTGGAAGGAGTGTTGATATTGACCGATCTGGTTTGCTACGGCAAAGCCAGAAGCCAAAAGTTTTTTACCAAAAAACTAAAAAGATTACATTCTGGTATCATTCTCCACAGATGGTAATTATCGCTGTAGCTGCTGCTCTGGGATGCAACCGAATGGAACTTTCAAATTGGCATCTGGCTCCGTCATTATGTCGTACACACGAGTGACGGACCGGAGCAAAACGAGTCAGCGAATAAAGTAACGTTCAACTTCTAAGCTCTTTGTTGACGACGACAAAGGCAAAGACCCGTATAACCGTATGAAGAAAAAGGCCCCCGTCATCATGTCAACCACGTCAGATGGTAAAGTCGTTGCTAGGAAACACAAAAACAGAAGCCGTACAGGTCAGTTAATCAGGTCAAAAGACTTCACATCAGTACTGTGACCCAATTAATGGCAGTCTGTTGAGCTTTAATTATAAAAAGAAGAATTCAGTTCGATTCAGTTCATATTTTCAGGGGATTCATTTCAAT